GCGGTGTCCCACAACGTAGCAGCTCTCTCCCCACTTCCTCCCCACAGTCCCCTCTTCAAAGTGGATTTTTTTGGCCTTTAAACGCGTTGCTGTTGCATTGCCCCTGACTCGTGGCGAACCTCTGTGTGTCAGGGAAGCTGTGTGCCCCAGGCTTTCAGTGGCTGATGGTTTGGGCAGGAGATCATCAGGCTTGTCTTCTGAGGTGTCCCTGGCTGGACTCGAGCTCTCAACTCTGTGGATTATGACAAATTATAGGTAACATTGAGAAGAATGGGAATTCCAGAACACTTAATGGTGCTCCTGAGGAACATGTACATAGACCAAGATGCTGTCATTAGAACAGAACAAGGGGATGCTGTATGGTTTAAAATCAGGAAGGGTGTGCGTCAGGGTTGTATCATTTCACCATACTTACTCAAACTGTACGCTGAGCAAATAGTCCAAGAAGCTGGACTATATGAAGAAGAACTTGGCATCAGGATTGGAGTAAAACTCATTAACAACCTGCAATATGCAGATGACACAACCCTTGCTTGCTGAAAGTGAACAGGACTTGACGCACTTACTGATGAAGATGAAAGACTACAGTCTTCAGTATGGATCACACCTCAACATAAAGAAAACAAGAATCCTCATAACTGGATCAATAAGCAGCATCACAATTAATGGAGAAATAGTTGAAGTTGTCAGGGATTTCATTTTACTTAGATCCACAATCATTGCCCATGGAAGCAGAAGTCAAGAAATCAGACGATGTATTGTAGTGGGCAAATCTGCTGCAAAAGACCTCTTTAAAGTGTTAAAGAGCAAAGATGTCACTTTGAAGACTAAGGTGTGCCAAGCCCGAGCCATGGTGTTTTTCAGTTGCCTCATATGCATGTGAGAGCCGGACAGCGAATAAGGAAGATGCCAGAAGAAATCATGCATTTGAATTGTGGTTTTGGCAAAGAATAATGAAAATACCACGGACTGCCAGAAGAATGAACGGCTCTGTCCCAGAAGAAGTAAAGCCACAATACTCCTTGGAAGCGAGAATGGTCAGACCTCACCTACTTTGGTCATGCTGTCAGCAGGGACCAGTCCCTGGAGAAGGATATCATGCTTGGCAAAGTTAGAGGGTCAGTGAAAAAGGCGAAGACCCTCAGTGAGGTGGATGGGCACAGTGGCTGCAGCTTTGGGCACGAGCATAGCAGCGGTTGTGAGGACGGTGCAGGAGCAGGCAGGGTTTCGCTCTGTTGTACACGGGGTCCCTGAGAGTCAGAGCCGGCTCGACAGCACCGAACAACAATTTTACGAGAAGCCCTGGTGGTGCAGGGTTAAGCGCTTGGTTTTCTGAACAGCTCAGCGGTTTGAATCCACCAGCTGCTCTGCAGGCGAATGATGTGGCTGCTTCCGTAAAGACTGACAGCCTTAGAAACCCTATGGAGCAGTTCTGCTCTGTTCTGTAGGGTTGCTGCGAGCCACGACTGACTCAACAGCGATGAGTTTGAGTTTAGTAATTTTACAAGGCATTTCTGCTGCCACTTGCATACACCGGGCTTCCTAAGCCATGGGACCCCGTTGGTATTGGGGCATCGAAATCCCCAACATGCCCTGACCCAGGAGGCCCAGTGAGTTCCGGGCTTGGGTTCCCAGGGCTTCCTCTTCCTCTTCCTTCTTCCAAGATGCCTTCCCACTTGCCTAATAAGTGCTACTTGTATGCCTTTGCGTGAGTCCTCACTCGAGCCCCTGTGGTAATCGTGGTCCCTGGTGGCACGTTTCCTCTCTGCTTTGCGGCTGTGTGTACTGTCTTTACAGTCCCTGCTGAAGTCTGTCTGTCCTCCCCTTCCCTCCCTCTCCCTTTCTCCCCTGCCACCCTCCTGCACACCCCCATCACACCCTGGTGCTCCCTCCCTGTCGCTGCCTCTGAGCTGCTCATGTGCCCACTGCCAGAGACTGCTCAGAAAGCTCTCTTTAAAGCTCTGTAGAAAGACAGTGGAGGAGCCTGGTGCTTCAGTAGTTAAAGCACTCGCCTGCTAACCTAAAGGTCAGCAATTCGAACCCAGCAGCCACTCCGCAGGAGAAAGATGTGGCATTCTGTTCCTGTAAAGATGACAGCCTTGGAAACCCTCTGGGGCAGTTTTACTCTGTCCTCTAGGGGTGTTGAGAGTCGGAGACAACTTGACAGCAGGGGCTTCAATGAGTATAAAGAAAACACACTTAGCAGTGAGCACGTTTGAGTTGCAGCAGGGTGTTTTTTTCTGTAAGTGGCCACATATCCCAGAGAATAAATTGCTTTGGAGTAGGAGGGGTGACTGCGTCTATAGGGTGTCCACGCTGTGTCATTTTCAGTGGGAGAGCGGTATCCTGTCAGGGATTCTAGCTTCCACCAGAAGCTGCCGGCACATCCATTGTCGTGGTCTCCCCTCCGGAGCACAGGACGCAGGAGCAAAGCCATTCTCTGCCTCATTTCCGCAGCCCTGCAGTGTCGCAGACCCACGTAAACCTGGTACCGCTTGGGCTGCACGCTGGCCGGTCCTGTGATGCTTACCTGTTCCCCACGGTGCTAGGATGGCCAGCACACTTGGCTGCCTCCCTTCTGAGCGGCGAGGGCCAGTGCAGGGCCAGATCGTATCCTGCTCTCTGTTCCTGTGGCCCAGTATGGGCCCAGCATGTGTGAGGACTCAATAACACTGGAGCACTCGAGGGACAGTCCCAGCTTCACACTCAGTCCTGCCCTTAATAGCTGTGTGACTTTAAGCAACATACTTAGCCTCCTTAGTTCTAGTTTTCTTTTCCATAAAATGGGGAATGAGATCCACCACATGGGATCACTGTAAGGAATAAGTGGGTTAAGACTCAGCACTGTGCTTAAGGCCCCTCCTCTAACAAGCTGCTTCCTCTGACAAGCCTAATCCAGCCATCCTCAGCCCCTGTCATTTTCTCCTTCACAGCACTCACCAACACTGGACCTCAGAGGCTCATACTCATGTTTGTTTCTCCTTGCAATTTGTAAGGGGGCAGGAGGTTTGGCCAGCGCACTATACCCTCCATGCCTAGCAGATAGTCCATGTTCAATAAGTGTGTGGTATGTCATGGAAGTCTGCAACATATTAGATGGATGGATGGGTGGGTGGGTGGGTGGGTGGGTGCATGGAAGAGTGTGTGTGTGGATGGAAGGGAATAAGGAGGAAAGGGTAGATGGGTGGATGGATGGATGGAAGGAAGGATGAGAGACAAGACGGGCATGAAACAAATACGCAAACTTCATACAAATAACATACAACCATTCAGTTACTTGTATTCTAGATTCCAATTTTTCAGAATGGCTTTGATCATTTGGATCCAAGTAACTTTGACCGCCAAACCCAAAACCCACTGCCACTGAGTCGATTCCAACTCACGGCAACCCCATAGGACAGAACAGAACTGCCCCATGGGGGTTCCAAGGCTGTAAATCTTTATGGAAGCAGACTGCCTCATCTTTCTTCTGTGGAGTGGCTGGTGGGTTCAAACCACTGACCTTTTGATTAGCAACCAAAATGCTTTAACTACAGCACCACGAAGGTGCCATCAAACAGGATTTACGTACAAGCTACAGGTTTTACACTGAAAGTCGCCCTCCCATCCCTCACTCCTTCAGTAGGTAGATGACAAAGAACAAAGCAGGGCTGAGTAAGGAGAAGGGGTCCATAGTCGACAGAAGCTGAGTACGAGTGGTGCAACCTCACTGTAAGGACAGTGGAGCTGAATTCAGGGTGGAATCAAAGGCAGGTGACGCTAGGAGCTGGTGGCCTCACCTGTCGCCACGACCCGGGATTGTGTCCAAGTTGGGATCATGCCTCTTACACAGGAGCCAGCAGGGATCATCTCTAAAATGGCTTTTAGGAAAAAGAATGAGGAAAGGGGGTGCTGGGGCTTAGTGCCCTCATGGCCCGTGGCTGAGCCCGTGTCCATCTCGAGCACTGCAGGGTATCCGTCTGCTTGTCTGTTTTTCCAGTGAGATGCTTATCATGTCTGCATGCAGCTGTTGGCAGGGAATCGGACACAGGTTAAAGGAAGGAAGTGTTTAGTAACAGGAACGTTTTACTTTCTGGAAAGGGGGGAGCCTTGCCCATCAACAGACTGTTATCTGAAATGAGCCCACTGTCACCTTTGAGCATGGTGGGAGCAGAGAAGGGCAGGGTGAGCTGGGCATTCAGAAGTGACATGAGAGGAAGCCCTCAGTCAGGGCACTGGTGGGAGGAGAAGATGGGCATCGTCAAGAATGTGGAAAACTTTCCTGCCTTTGCCAGAGTGTCTCCAGCAGCAGTCCCGGTGCACTGGAGGCGTGCTCACCCCAGTGCTGCTGCTGCTGCTCTGAGCAGAAGATGATAAGCTACACGTGGCTATTTCCTGAGCCCCACGCCTCCCCATCCCCCTCTGCCGTAGACTGACTGGTGCAAGATGACCACCAGGTTTTACGCCTCTAGGAATAGTCCTTGCCTCGCAGAGGAAGCAATGGTTGAAGCCGGTGGTCACCCTTCTGGGGACCTTTCTGGAGCTGAACGTGTTTCCCAGGATCCCTGCACTGCTGGCTTTTGTACTCTCCCTCTTTCTCACTCTGCTGCCCCAGGGTTGTTCCTCTGGTCATCATAAGGAGCTGCAGCTCCCAGGAATCCTGGGCTCCATTCTTCAAGAAAGCAGGCTCCCCTCCCTGCAGCCAGCCAGCTAGCTGACTTCTTTCACAGCTTAGTTGGGTTCTGGCCCCTTATCAGGCCTTACCTCCCAAGAGGCTACACAGGCAGTGGGCCCCAGGTCGGAGACCTCAGAAAGAGGGAGCCCCGACATGCTCGCTTGGCCATGAGCTGAGCCGAGAGGCCACTAGCTGTTGACTCACTAGGTGTTCATGGTGGGAGTCGGCCCCGACGCTCGACTTCCCTGGACCCAGAACACATCCCCTACCCCCAGAGAGTCTGGTGCCATCCAGAGAGAGTAAACATGCCTGCAGAGATGAAAGGACTGCCTTGCTTCTGTTCCAGGTGCTAAGCCCGCCCCGGGGATCTGCTTTGAGAGAGTCAACTCTGCAGGTGACCCATATGGCAACTGCGGCAAAGACTCTAAAGGCTCCTTCACCAAGTGCGAGAGGAGGTATGCAGCCTGCGCTGCTGGTGATGTCACCGCTGGTGCTCCCCCCAAGCTTAAGGTGGCTCCAAGCTCTTCCTCTTTGGAGACTGTTTGTTCTTGCCCTTCCAGAGATGCTAAGTGTGGAAAAATCCAGTGCCAAGGAGGTGCCAGCCGGCCAGTCATTGGTACCAACGCTGTGTCCATAGAAACTAATATCCCACTGCAGGAAGGAGGCCGGATTCTGTGCCGCGGGACTCACGTGTACTTGGGAGACGACATGCCAGACCCAGGGCTCGTGCTAGCTGGCACAAAATGCGCAGATGGAAAAGTAAGGCCCACATTATTTTGCGTGCATCGTGGGTGTGAGTCTGGAAGGGAACCCGTTGACAGACACACCGATTGAGGCCTAGCCTCTGGGGTTTGTTGGTCTTCCCAAATCCATTTCTTTCTGAATCCATTTCTTTGCACCTGGAAGAGAAACCCCATCATCAATCCTGGGTCCCGGTCTGCAACTGAGATGCAGATTGGGGAAAACTGAGTTTGTCGTCTCTGCCCTTGGGTACCGGTAAGTCATTTCTGCACTCTGGGGTCAGTTTCCAGCCAGGAAATTACTTTGGCAGGAACTGCAGTAGCACATTTTATTGTTTTTGGACCGGTGGCCTTGGCTGTTGGCACAAGTTCTTGGGGGCTTGTTCTCACCTGGACAGAATGGGAAAGCAAGTGTATTTTCAGAGACCCCAGAGGGAAACAGTGGGCAAGCTGAAGCCAAAAAAAAAAAAGACTTTGGGAAAATGGGAAAAACTAGACTGAGCTATTTTGAACTTGAGAAATAGAATTTTTCAAAAAGAAACAAACTCAGATTTTCACATCCGGCCCACTTGATTGTTTTCCACGAAACTTTCAGTCCAGACTAAATAACAGCAAGTTAACGAGCGGAGCCCTGGTGGCACAGTGGTTAAGCGCTTGGCTTTGGGAAAACCAAAAAGGTTTTGCCTTAGAAAGGTCAGTGGTTTGAACCTCCAGCTGATTGGTTGGGAGAAAGAGGAGCCTTCTGTCAAGTTTACTGCCTTGCAAACCCTCTGGGGCAGTTCTCCTCTGTCCAGCAGGGTCACTGCGAGTCAGCATCAGTTGGACGGCAGTGGGGGGGTCTTGGTAATAAGGTGTTTTTGGAAAGAAGATGAGCCAGCCCCTCCTGCTTTCCCCAGGACCTCATTCTAAGACTGCTCTTGAAATCAGAGGGTGTGCACATACCGCTCAGCTTCCCTCAGCGGTGCCTGTGGGCAGCAATGCCCCGTACCCACCCCCACCCCACCCTGAGGGAGTCGGACGGTGCCGGCGAATGCTGTGCACCCTCCGTGTCTCATTTCACCACCTCAGTTTATGGTCTGGCCTGCACGTTAGAGCCACACCCTTTTTTTAAACTGCAGTCTGAATTGCCCAGGCCAGGTGTATCTAACACCGGCATTCCCAGGACTGAATGGATGGGTGAGATTTGCTCCACGGGCAGGAGTCTGTCGGCCTGGATCTCCTGTCTGCAGAGCTCTGGCCTTTGAGGGCGCAGTGAGCCTTCCTGTGGGCTCAGGAGGAGGATGGTCTGCTCTGATTCTGACTGGGTTCCCATGGGTTCCCAGCCCTCCCGGCAGCGTCTTTACTCGCTGGCATGTGGCACTGCCCTTCGCCAGGAAGCCCTGGGCCCGCAGGGCTGCGTGCTGATGTGGTTGGGTGCCTTCAAGTCAATTCTGACCCGTAGAGACCCCGTGTGACAGAGCAGAACGGCCCCACAGTTTCCCAGGCTGCCCCCTGACGGGGCAGAGCACCCGGTCCTTGTCTGGCACAGCTCCTGGGAGGACTCAGACTACAACCTTTCAGTTCGCAGCCGAGCACTTAACCGCTGCACCACCAGGCTCCTTTAGGGCTGCTTCAACCCCACTTTTTCCAAAGGGTGCTCATTTGTACCACATAGGAGCTGTGGGGATCAGAGAGTGAACTTCCCCAGGAAGGCTCTGCCTGGTTCAGAGTGTCTCTGTAGCCTGAAAGTGAGACTTCTTCCTTTGACTGCGTTACTTTGTGACACCTTGTGGGAGAGAGAGGGCCTAAGCCCTTGAGTCTTTGAAAGGCGGCGGATGCTTTCACCACAGTATCGTTCAGCAGACACCTGCCTGTGCCTACGATTCCCGAGCAGCGCAGGGGAGCCGTCTGCCTGCCTCTGCCGAGTGGTTCGGTGGACAGTTTGTCATCAGTGATGTTACTAGTGAATCAACATTGGGAAAAAAAAATGCCTGTATCTCAGTCTTTCCCTTCAGAAACTCTCGGACCTGGGATTCTTGGAGTCCCCGAGTCTGCGTGGGCCCTGGGTAAGGAGCAGGCCAGCTCGTCCCCTTACCTTTGTTCTTACTGTTCT